CTTAGCTGTGGAGGGCAGTGTCACTGGCCCTCATATGTGGGATCCGAACCAGGGCCCTCTGGCATCCCAAGCCAGTTCTTAACCATTGCGTCTCTTGGCCGGCCCTCTTTTTTTTTATTATTTAATTTTATTATTAGTTTCAGGTATATGAAACAACATAATGATTAGACATTTATACCCCTCACAAAGTGATAACCCAACCAAGCCTACTACGCATCTGACACCATACATAGCTATTACAATACCATTGACTATATTCTCTTTGCTGTACTTTACATCAATATTATTTTATATTAGTTTCAGGTGTACAGCACAGTGGTTAGGCATTTATATAATCTGTGAAGTGATCCCCTGGAAAGTCCAGTCCTCATATGACACCCTACAAAGTCTTTACTCAAAATCCCATTTTCGATAATGTATGGAACTATATGATATACTAAACAATATCAACAAGGAAGATGTTCAATATTATTAGGAAAATGCAAATTAAAACTACCATGCATAACCACTTGTACAACTGTTAAAATGGTTTAAATTAAAAGACTGACCGTACCAAGTATTGGTGAGGATGTGGAGGTCCTGGAACTGTCCTGCACTGCAGGCAAGAGAGTAAAATCATGCAGCCACTTTGGCAAATAGTTTGGCAATTTCTTAAAAAGTTAAACATATATGAGTGTTTAGCCTATGATCTAACGATTTTACCTTTAGGCATTTTTCCAAGAGGAAAGAAAGTATATGTTTTTACAAAGACTTCTACACAAATAAATGTTCATAACAACTTTATTTGGAATAGCCAAAATCTGGAAACAACCCAAATGTTTATCCACAGATGAATGAATGAATAAACTGTGGTATACCCATGCAGTGGAATACTACTCAGCTGTAAAGCAGGATAAACTATTGCTATAACATGAATGAATCTCAAAGTAACTATGCTGGGGTGACCAGTTAGCTCAGTTGGTTAGAGTGCAGTGCTCATAACACCAAGGTTGCCGGTTCAATCCCCGCATGGGCCACTAGCTGTGCCCTCCACAACTAGATTGAAACAACTACTTGACTTAGAGCTGATGGATCCTGGAAAAACACACTGTTCCCCAATAAAATAAAATAAAATAAAAACAAAGGAATAAAATATAAAGTAAATGAGACTAAAAATTTAAAAATAAATAAATAAATAAATAAATAAATAAATAACTATGATGAGTAAAAGAAGCCTGACCTAAAAAAGAGGACATAGTGTATGATTTAATTGAAACAAAATTCTAGAAAATGTAACCTAATCTCTAGTAACAGAAAGCAGGCTCTGTGGTTGCTTGGGATAGGAAAGAGAGCATGGTGAAGAATGGGGGGAAGAGACTACAAATCAGTGTGGGGACCCTTTGGGGGCTGACAGACGTACTCATTATCTTGATGGTAATGGTGGTTTTACTGGTGTACATATATGTCAAAACTTACTGTACACTTTAAATATTTACAGTTTATTTGTTATACTGCAATTAGGCCATTTTTTAAAAAGCAATACAGTCTCAAGGATGTTTAGGTTGAAGTAATAGCTTTTATTTATTATTTTTTTTAGCTGAGCCATCCTGCCACCTGTTGGTAGCTCAGCAGCAGCTCAGCTCAGGCCGGACTCAAACCGCTGTTGCTCAGAGCTCAAACCCGTGAGCGAGCTCTTAACCAACTGAGCCACTCGGCCGATCCTTAAAGTAATAGCTTTTAAGTTTGACAGTGAGGGAGTCTTTGGTGACTTGGATGAGGGCAATTCTTCATGAGTAGGGGTTTTTTCCACCTTAGTTCAAGGTAATTGCTGAGGTCTATACTCATCCAACTGGCATTATCAGTTACTATTGATTGAGCACTCACAGCTTTGCATTTTTATTGTACCAGGATTATTATTTTTTTTAATTAAAATGTATTGGGGTGACAATGGCTAGTAAAATTACATAGGTTTCAAGTGTACAGTTCTGTAATACATCATCTATATATCACATATCACCACCCAGAGTCAGTTCTCGTTCCATAGATATGGAAATTATATTAAAATTAAAATTTTTGAAAAATTTCCCTTCTTTGTTGTTGTTCTGTATCCCCAGATTTATGTAGCTATTTGGAGGACGAAGAAGAAAGTACCACCATTCAAAAATTTATAGACCATCTGCTCCATAAAGATGTGGTAGATTCTGGGATGTTGGAAGATCTTGGAATGAATGGGAACCAAGACCAGAAGCAGCAGAAGGATCCTCGTCTTACCATGGAGATGAGACATAAGCAGGTGGGAGGAAAAAACAAAATTAAAATGGATAACAGGAAGCAATCTTTGTGTAACACATTTAATAAGCTTAAATAAAGACAGAGGCTTTATTATGAAAAAGGGTGCCATCTGTGGTTTGGTTAGAAAGAACAAAAATAAAATATAAGAACTTCGGAAGAAAAATAATGTTCGTAAACTGAGGATAGGAAACAATTTAAGAAAGCCCCCCAAAAAAGGAATAATTGATTTTAACCAGTAGTGTGGTAAGCTAAACTTCATTAGTTTGGATATGGTACTTCGTTTCATAAATATGTAGATTGGGTTTTGCTTGATTTTTGTTTTTGAATTGTGACATCAATATATTAATATCATGAATATTCTGGCGAATATTAGAGTGATAATTCTTTTCGAGACAACTGAAAAATTCACTCGTTTTGTGATTATAATTTGAAAGGGAGGACAGATCTGAATTAAATCCAGTTCAGCTGTTTTGAATTAGAAAGGCATATGGAAACTTTCTTTTCCCCAAAGGGAATAGTAGGTTACAGGGAAAAGATGCATCTGGACACTTTATAGAGGAGCTTCAGAGCATCAGAGTGACCCAAGTCTTTGCCACATGTGCAGAACTAAGAGTGAACCAGAATCAGTGTCTATACATGTGTTCTGTCCTCTTGTAACACTGAATTTCTGATTGCTTTAAACCAGAAGGTATGTCTAATCAGCACTGGGGTGTTAGAAAAACTGAGGTAGAAATATATCTTTGTTTTGGATTTATGATAAAAGGGAGGAAAGAAGGTTCAATAAGAGATAGCCATTTTCCAGAAGTCTTATAACTGGATGGTAAGATAAGGATAAAGTGAAGCAGGAAGGAAAGGACCATTCCTTAATTCAAAGAAAGAGTTAATATATTTGAGAAAAAATTGTAGTGCTTACTCAAAAATACCTGTAAAGTGGGTCAAATATATGGTGATGGAAGGAAAAGTGACTCTGGGTGGTGAACACACAATGTAATATATAGATGATCTATTACAGAATTGTACACTTGAAACCTATGTAATTTTACTAACCATTGTCACCCCAATAATTTTTTTTTAAAAATCTGTGAAGTTCATCATTTTGATTTCAAAACATGATCCAGCATCATCAATATATTTAAATAATGATAGAAATGAATAAAGGGCTGTGGTGTTCCTTAAGGCAATACAGATGCTCCTTGACTTATGATGGAGTTACGTTCCAATACACCCATTGTAAATTGAAAATATTGTGAGTCGAAAATGCATTTAATACACCTAACGTACTGTATGTCATAGTTTAAACTAGCCTACCTTGAACATGCTCAGGACACTTATGTTAGCCTACAGCTCGGCAAAATCATCTCACACTTGCAAGCATCATGACAGAGTGTCTTACCACACATTGCTAGCCCAGGAAAAAAAAATCAAAATTCAGAATTCAAAGTATACTTTCTACTGAATGTGTATTGCTTTTGCACCATCGTAAAGTTGAAAAATTCTAAGTTAAAAACCATGGTAAGTCGGGGACCATCTGTAAGTTGCCGTTCTATCCTTTACAATGTAGCCTCCCCAAAGTGTTCTTTTAAAAATCATAATTAGCATGCAAATGGGGTCTAAATAAATAACAGTAATGTATATGTTGGAAAATCTTACGGGTAGGCAATCATTACTAAATAAGAGTTCAGAACTTGGCAGCTGACCCGTTAGATTTTCAACTTTTCCACGGTGCAGATCGTTCCCACATTATTTTGGAGTCATCTTACCTAACTTCTTTTAAAATTATGTGTGGGCCCTTACCCAATAAGCAAATGAATTCCCACTATTCTTCTGATAAACGGTGGAGTTCTGGTCATGAATGTTTCAAACTGGGTATATTCTGAGCTTCAAAATGTGTTCTGCAGTTTTACAAATCCCTTTCTACTTGCAAGGCTGCATGTCACCCTTGTTGTATTCTCTTTAAGGTGAAAGAAAATCGCTTAAGACGGGAGAAAGAACTGGAGCGCCAGAGAATTGAAAAGACCCTGAAAAAATCGATCTTCCTAGAAGCTCAGTACCTTGTGCAAGAAGAGAAGAAAAGGAAGGCCCTGGAGGCCAAGAAAGAGGAGGAGGAGATTCAAAGGGAGATGGTAAAGCTGCGCAGGGAAATAATTGAGAGGAGGCGCACTGTGGAAGAAGCATGGAAAACGTAAGCCAGCCGTGCTGAGCAGTGTGCGGTTTTTTTTTTTCAGTAGTCATTTTGGAAGCACTCTCAAATTTTTTTTTAAATGCACAAACATTAAAATGACAAAACACAACAGAGAAATCACCCACTATTCCACCATCCTAACAAATGAACTATTTTCACTTTTCCGCATGTCCTCCTGGTCTTGGCCCCTTTACATACTTAATTGCAACTGCAACATACATTGAATTTGTTATTCTGTGTGTTGTAATTAACACATTGCCTGGAGTCCTGAGCTCTGTATGTAACTCCATTGAGTTCCTATTCCATAATTTATGCAAGCCTTATGCTGGTAAGCCCTTTGGCTATTTAGATTTTTCTCCAGTATGCAGTGAGCATCCTTAAGCATAGACGTTTCTCATTATTTTGAATTATATTCTTAGGAGTATAATTACTGAGTTAAATGGTACAGACCTTTTTATGACTCTGGAGACATTGCCAAACTGCTTTCCAAATGGGTTGTACTTATTTATACAATTGCTGGCAGTGGGCCAGTTTACCACACTTTGCGGCATTGAGGAGTATCATCATTTTTAATACATTTTGCACTTTTAATAGGTATTGTATTGGTTAGTTTGCACGGCTGTGGTTACCTGAACATTTCTAAGGTTTAACGTGTTTCCTTATGCATGTCTGTTAATTGTGCCTCGTCCTATTGTGACTTGCATCGGTGTCTTGTCTTCTGATAATCATTAACAGAGAGTCTCCACGGCCCTACTGCCACTGATAAGGAAAAAGGATATCTCACTTAAAAGGAAAGTCAAAATCATTCTCACAGGATGTAGTACTATTACGTATCCGCATGCAGAAAATGAGCTTCATAAATGAAATAACTAATATATTTATTTGGAGAAACAGCACTGATGCGTGAACTGCAACAGCCTTGGAACAACGTGCCTGAAGTGCCTGAGTACTCAGACTGAGAGGCCCGAAAGACCTGTTAGATAATCCCTTCCACCCACATCAGCCCACGCAGCTTGTCCCCCTGTGTTCTTGATTGCTCTCCTTCTCCCAGATTTCAAACAGCGTGGAAGTGGATTTTCGCTTCACTCTTTCAAGTGCCAGGCTCAGGCCTCCTCCAGACATGCCATTCCTTTCAGAAAGCAATCACAAGTGTTTTTTAGTGAGTTCTTGCTAAGGTCAACCGTGCTTTTCAGATTGCTCTTAAGCCCTGAGAAATCTAGGCTGACCTAAAATAAAATGGGAAGCAAGTAACATTTGATGGTAGCAGGAAGTGGACACTCAACATGTTCACTGACCAGTCATTTCTTTTAAAAGTTAAAATCATATCCATGGTTACAGAGAGACAGATAATGTGCTATACTTCTAGGTGGGTGAACTGATTTAAACGTTCCAGAAAGCAATTTGGCAATAAACAAGAGCCATGAAAATGTTGTCATTTGAGAATTCCAGCTCTAGGAAAGCTGTCCTAAGAAAATGATCAGAAATCCAGACAAAGATTTGTGCACAAAGACAATTAAAACAATATTATTTATCATAGCAGACATTAATAAATAGTGGAGAAATTAATAAACAATGTTTGTACAGTGAAACAGCACTGACATGGTATCATTGGTTTTTTCTAGGTAGAAATAAGGATAGCTTTTATACCTCTCCAGTTTTTCACAGTGAGCAGATACTTTCACAACAGACACTTAATGTTATTTAAAAAGAACAGATCCATGTTATTAGAACTGTATTTCTTTAAATGCCCACTATGATCTGCCTATAACCATCTAATGTAACATTGTTATGACATTGGTAAATTTGGAAAGATTCAGTAAAATTGTATTGTTGGTAGGGCTTTTTAACTTATTTGTAAGCTGTCCTAAATGGCTTCATTACATAGTTTCAAAGCGTCTCCTCTAAGAGATTTATTAATTACGTAGGGAAAAATAGCAACTTTGAACCAGAGAAACCACCTTAACCAAGTGATGATTAACATCACCAGTAACAAGATATAACATTGTGTGTCCCCTTGTATGAGACATGAGAATTAGAGAATGTCTACAGAGTATTCTGACATCCATTTCCCAATTTGAGTTTCCACAAACGTAAAGTGAAGTTGAGAAAGACTAGGCGACTTGCCTGAGTTTTCAGTTGATTTGTGACCAAGGCCCATGAATCCTGATTCCTGACTAGGTATTATCTTTACTACCTCATTAATAGTATATATACTGTACACATACACATATCTATGTGGTTTAATATACTCCAAAAAGAAAGCAATGGCTGTGAGCTGGCATGAATGTAAGTGGGGGTGACCTGGGTGAGAAAGAATAGCTAGGTGGGTGAGAAAGAGGATGACCAGAAAGATGAGCAACAAAGTTACTGAGAGATTCTTATTACTTGCCTAAAGGCCTTTTCCTTATTGCTATTAAGTTCTGTTTTTTCTTTTAGCTATTTTAGAATTAATATAAATTCCGTTCTCTCCTTACTCAGTAACACCCAATTCTTTTATTATTTTTCTCCCTACAAACCTTGTAAGAGTCTTCTTGTATAAACCTCACTCCTTTCTCACCTGAGGGTCGTTTGTTGTGCCCCCATTATAAGAAGAGAGAGAATTTATGTCTATATTAGAGAATACCCAGTAGTTGTTAACTCTCAAATTTTGATCCACATATCGCTCAGTGTTAAGCTCAATAAAAATACTAAAATATCTATTGGGCTTTCCACTTTTCAGAGTATATTGTAACAATTTTATTTCATTTAATTTGTATTTTTTTAAAAAGGAATAAACTGAGGCTCAAAAAAAAAAAATCACCCTACTATGTAGTTTGAAAGCCAGATCAAAAATCTGTGTCTTCTAATGGAAAATGCAGTGTTCATTCCACTGTGGTAGATTGTATTTGCTTGTTAAGTCTATCATTTATGTATATGTTTTTAAATTGTTATGAACAGAGAAAAGAAGAAGCAAGAAGAAAATTCTCCAAAAATTCCAGAAAGAGTCATGTTTCAAAGTGTTCCTATTCTTCTGGATGAAGAAAAAATGGCAAAAGAAAGAAAGAAGAAACTGAAAGAGTTATTAATCCAAACTTTCAAGGAAAATCACCAGGTGGGAAGCGTAATGTCTTTTAACTGGGTATTCTGTAGCATAAATGACAAAGGGCCCTGTCAGAGATGGGACAAAGTAACATGAAACCCAACCAAGCCTCATCACAAACGCCAAAAGTGCCCATGCCTTGTGCTGTGGGGCCGAGGGCTCAGTGCAGGGCTCTGATCCCCTGTGCGGGGGCTGTTCTCACTTGCTCTGTGTGATCCTGGGAAACCGGGGTATGAATTGGAGACACTTTCCTAAGTTACCCTTTCCAGAATAGCACTGAACTACTAATTGTAGATCTCTGGCAGTTTTTGAAAGCTTGGCTTCCACTTTGCCATTCTTACAAACCATTGTCTTCTGGATAATTCAGAAGAATTTTTCAAAAAGTCACTTGCCTTTTGGTAGTTCAGATCCTAAAGCAGTGATATACTTACATTTGTGCTCCCCCCCCCTTTTTTTTTGTTGGTTTCAGATGCCCAAAGCAATGTAATAGACATTTACACCTTTCACAAAGTGATAACCCCCCCATCTACTACCCCTCTGACATCATATTGTATATAGCTGTTACAATTCCATTGATTATATTCCCTATGTACTTCACATGCCATGACTATATATATGTTATAGTTGACATTCAGTATTGTTCAGCTTCAGCTTGAGATGTTCAGCACAGTGGTCAGGAATCCACACATGGTTTGCATTTTATTTATTCTTCTCTCTCTCTTTACTTTCACTCTTTGTAAAATTAACTGGCAAATTTTTTTTTTTTTTTTTTTACAAATGAGCATCTTTCCCAGGTAACTTACTTAAGCAGAAGTGTTTTTCAATGAAGTGGGATTGATAACACTATGAATTTGGGGTTTAAAACATTTCAGATGAAAGGAATTACTTGGAAGATTTGTAAATGAGAAGGTTGGATATAAAAGATAACCATATATTTTATATCTCCTACAACAACCACCCCTGGGCCTTAGGCATTGCTGAAATTCAGTGAAAGTTAATGGAATGAACGCATTAATGAATGGATTTAACAAGAGAAAAGAGAATGTCAAGAAGATACTGAGGGCGCTTGATAAATGTACAATAGACTACAAAGACCCTGGAAATCAGTTAACAGGAATTTGAATATGATATGGATAACTAAAAGATGAGGGAAAAAGTAAAGTAGGTCAAAGCAATGTTTTTTAAAAAGCTAAACACTAGATGGTGGCATTTTGGACTGATGGTCAAGCAGCCATAATTATTCAGATATAAAACAGCAAGAGTTTGGTCAGAGTTTTGGCTTTAGAGATGAAAAGGTAAGTGTGGTAGGGGGAAATGTTAAGAATTAGGGTTAACATTTTGAGGAAGATTGTCAAAGACTCTTCGATGAGAGTCCTTCATGAGACCGATGGAGTTACTGTGTGCTTGTGCAATAACAGTAAAGATTTCTAAAAGAAAATAGGACGGGAAATGAGTACTGGGGGCCATCTTGAAAAGGCATGCGGAGAAAGTGCCATGATATGTTACCCAACCAATGAGAGATGAATATGACATGTGTTCCTAATAAGATTAACTTCCAAATTTTATTGAAGTCTGCTGTATAAGAAGAAATAATGTATGTTATAGATACAAGTGCTAGGGACTTTATTTTAGACAAAAATACAGTTTTACAAACTTAGTGGCCTACTAAAACATTACTCAGTTTTAAAAGGACCAGCCAGTATATTTTAAAATGAGAGATTATGAATAAGTTATCTCTATTTTGGCACACATTCTGCTTGATTTGAACCTATACTTGTCTTTTAGTTTTTATTCTGAAATAATTTGAGACATACAGAAAAGTTGCAAAAATAATACACCGAGTTCCTGAATATCCTTCATCCAGCTTTTCCCAATGTTAATATCTTACAGAAGCATAGTATAATTATCAAAACTAGGAAGTTAATGTTGGTACATACTGTTAAATACTGTTAACAAAATTATAGATCTTATTAGAATGTAACTAGTTTTTCCACTAAGGTTCTTTTTCTGTTCCAGGACTCAGTCTGTAATTTCATGTTGCATTTAGTTGTTACATCTCCTTAGTCTCCTCCCAGCTCCTCAGTCTTTCCTTATCTTGTATGATCTTGAAATTTTTGAAGAGTACTAGTCAGGTGTTTTGTAGAATGTCACTCAATTTGGGTATTCTGCTGCTCAGATTGATATGGCTTTTCGGTAAGCATACAACAAGAAGTGATGCTCTGCTCTTCTCAGTATATCATATCGGGGTACGTAATGTTAATATGTCTTATGACTGTAGGTATTAGCCTTGATCACTTAATATTGTGTCCAGTGGGTTTCCCACTATAAAGTTACCTTTTTCCCCTTTGTAATTCATAAATGTCTTAGAAGAAATATTGTGAAACTGTGCAACTCTCCTGCTTATCCTGCTTATCCTTAAACTTTCACCTATTAATTTAAGCATCTAATGGTGGATCTTGCCTGTAACAATTATTAATGTGATATTTGTCTAGTGATGATTTTGTATTTCCCTCATTTCTTCATTTATTGAAATTCTTCTAGAAGGAAAAACTGCCCTTTCTTCCCCATTTATTTATTTATTTATTCGTTCGTTCATTCATTCATTCATTCAATTATTTATTTGTGTCAGTATAGGCTCATGGATATTTATTTTTTTCTGTGGGTTATAATCTAATATTATTGTTGTTAACTTTGTTACTCAAATTGTTCTAACTTTAGCCATTGGGAAATCTTTCAGGTTGACTCGTCTGCCCTTCCAAAATACTACCATCCTTTTTTGGGCACTTCATTTCTTTCTGTCACCACAAGATGTTTCAGGCTCATTCTTGTATTTTCCCTGCCTCAGCCCTGGAATCAACCACTTCTACATGGAACCCTAGTTCCTTTTACTGGAGAATAATATTTGGAAACCAAGATCTGGATACACTAAGTGTGCTCACTGCTACTGGGGTATCAGTTGTTCCTGGGCCCTCTCAGCAGACAGAACTGGGAAATATATGTTGTATGCTAACCCACACATGCACACACATTATGTTTATTTCTGTGTCTATCTGTATACATATTAAAACCCATGAGTTCACACTGATACCTCCAATTTCAGTGCAACAACACAGGGATCATGCTGTCCTTTCCTCTTCCTCCTTTGTAACTTATTTCTGTATCTATCTGTATATATGTTAAAATATTAATGAGTTCATGATAACTCCAATCCTACTCCAGCACCACTGGTTTCAGTGTAGCCTTTTCTTCTTGCTTGTCTTTAACTTCTTTCTTTGACAATTGAGAAACCTGGAACTTATTATATAAAATATACTCACTTATTTGTTTAATCCTAGTATATTATATTTTCAGAATTGCTAACCCATACTGCTATAGAAACATTTTACTAGCTAGAGTATGCTATTTGTACAGTTATTTTTGTTTTTAGCCTTATCAGCCAAAATATTATTTTCCAAAGTTTCTTAGTTAGTTCTTTTCTTCTCCTTCCCCTTCAGTGTGATTATATGAACCATTTGTAATATTGTTAGTGAAGCTCTAACTCAGATTCCCCCAGATATGGGTGTGACAGAGACATAGGAAAAATCTACCTACCAGACTCCTCGGGCTTTTACATAGACTTGGCTCAAGACAGGACAGCCTCCGTAAATGCCACCGGACTAGTAGGCCCTCTGGCTCATTTTCTTGGTCCCAGTCCTCATTCCTAGCCTGGTTCTAAAGGAGCCTGAAGCTGCCCTTGGGTAATGAAACTTGAATACTCAGCAGCCTAAATATGACCACAAGATAAAAAGAGGAAATGCCTCACTGCCTTGGAGAGAGCAGCGAGATCACAGGAAGCTCTTGTCAGCACCCTCGGAAGGGTTCACTGGCACAAACCCAACAGCAGGCTGTACAGAGTATTTGCAGGAAGGCTTTAAAGAATTTGTTTCTGGGAGTTGCTGTAGTTCAGGCTCCTTTCATTCCTGTACTCTTTGTGCTTTGACTCTGGATGGCCTTTGCTCCCCCAAACAATCTCTTAACATTACATTTGGATCATATTATTTATTGGGTTGTTGGAAAAGTCATGACGTATTTTTTCTATGTTTTTCATTGCAAAAATGCGTCATGACTTTTCCAACAACCCAATAATAGGAGACTTTCTGAGAAAAACAGAGCAGGCTTTCTTATCAAAACACAAGTTCAGGTACAGCACTATTCATGCATCTTTTCCACCCATTTCATTTCTAGGTCTCTTTGTTTTATCAGAAACATCTATTTTTTTTTATAGAAACTTTCTACTTCCAGCCTATCCTATTTTCTCTTTGATCTTGCAGTGAAATCTCTTGGGGAGACTCAGCAATCCACATGCTGTTGCTAATTAACAGTAACAAAAAGGGATTAACTATGAAATTCTTAATACCATTTGGAAAATGGCCTTCTTAGTTCTCACCGTATTCTGAAATACATTTCATATTTTCCTAGTGAGATAAGAAAGTCTATGATCTTTCCTGCTTGTGAAGGTTGAAGAGAACAATGAAAAATGGGTTGACACTAACTTAAATCTTAATTCTATGGGGGCACCAAAATTGCTTATTTGTTTGGGGATGAGATCCGCTCATCAGCTAAAGCTACCAAGTGGACTGGGTGGGAGATTAGAAAAGAAAGACCCAGAGACAAAAAAAGCTGGGATCAGGAGGTCCACTGACCGCTGATGGAGCAATGGCCACGTTTATTTTTTGCAGAGCGCTTATATAGCAGCAAGCAGCTGCAGAGAGCAGTAAACAGCTTCAGCAGGTCTATTTATTGGGTTAGACATAGTAAGTTACATCCTGTTATGCACTTCTCTAAGTGCACAAGCAGGTTGCATTTGTTATGCCCTTTGTAGAAGCTCCTGCAGCTTCAGCTATTCTTTTGTCTTCTTGGATCAGTGGGGGTGGAACGTCCACTGGGAGGACCCTGTCAGCTTACAGCCTGCTCCCCACAGGTTGGGTTTTTCTGTTAGACAGTAGGTAAGAATGAACCAAAGGGAGTCGTTGTGGCATAGTGCCTTCCAAAAGGCTACCCCAAACTAAACCAAGGGAAACTGGAGATATATGGGAAATAGACCTGACGAGATGATGAAAACTGTAGTTAAGCACCTCATTTATATAGCATGATCCCTTCCTAAAGATCTTAGTTTTATCAGGATCGCCTACACACTACTGCAGCAAAACCATGTCTGAGCTGACACATAGCAAGCACCTTCTCAGCAATGTTGTCTGCTCAGGGAAGGCAATGAAGGGAACGCCTCTTTGCAAATAAAAAAACTGCAGAGAGAGAAACGTAGGGCACACACATGAAGAATATTGGGATTCGTGTGTTACATATGTTACTTCATATAGCTAAGTCTCTGTCAAACTTCCCAGTAAAATTTTAGCGTTGGTAAGGAGGTTGCTTATTTTGTTAGTATAGTCTTCCTTACCCTCACCCTACAAGTAATCCAGGCTTCCCATTCTCACAGAAGGGACAGTGCTTACCAACACATTGCACTGGTGTTTTGCTTTTCAAAATGCCATGAAGCCTTTTTTGATCCCAGAGGTTCCATTCATGTATATATGATTAATTTTTCTTTTTTTGTTTTTTGGAAAAAGTACTGATTCATTTCTGCTTTTAAAAAATTAACAAAAAGCCTTTTTCATAAAGAAAGCCCATTCTCTAAACTTGTACAGAGTAGAATATCTTTTTCCCCTAAACACTAGGCATTTCAGGTGAATATTTATAAGGATCCTGGGAACCATATGGGTGAGGAACAAATGACATCATATCATTGTCTTACTGCCAGACTGCCCTAGAGTGAATCAAGTGTTTGTCTAATACATTCTGAGGTAAGCTGTACTTTTAGCAAAGTGTGTGTGTGTGTGTGTGTGTGTGTGTGTGTGTGTGTGTGTGTGGCTGGGGGTGGGAGAGAGTGGGCAGGGAGTGGGGATTCATAGAGAGGAGGAAGAAGGTCTAGAAGGGGAAGAAGGAAGAAAGGAAAGAGGTAATGGGGAGCCATAGATCTGCCTTCCCTCTTAAAGACATGAGTCATGAAAATTGGTCCAAGCTATGCTGGGAAAGGAGCTCTAGCCTAACGAATACTGTCATAGGCTATGTTCTGGTCATTCTTCTTTAAAAGATCCCAGATAGTTTTTTATTGTTTAAGAATTTACTGTTATGACAAGACTAAGCAATTGCTTTCTGAAATTCTACTACTAGAGTGAAGCCGTATTAGATAATTACAGCAATATTATTGATTGAAAGTTCTCAGCAGAATTAAGAATTTACAAAATGTCCTTATGTTAGCAATACACATTTATGCATTTATGGGTGAAATGATATAATGTCTGATGTCTGGGATGTATTTTTAAATGCACCAGGAAAAAAAAAGTGGATAGAGGAGAGATGAAACAAGATTAGCAAAACATTGATAACTTTTGAATCTTAGTGAGGGTTTTATTCTTCTGCTCTGCTTTTGGGTATGTTCGTTAAATTTCCGTAATAAGCATTTTTTCTTTTTATTTTATGAAAGGAAGTAGGAAAAAATTAAATACAGAAGTAAAATGAGCATCACATCTTCCAGGGTATAACAAAAGCAGCTTTTTGTCTATAGCCAGTAGACACAGGTAGCATTTTACACAGCAGTGATTGTCAAAGTTTAGGCCTCCATGCTCTCCCATGGACCTCAACAACAAGTCCCAGTCTTGGCACTGTGTGCTGAGAGCTGACTTTATTTTTCTCCAATATGATTAGTTACAGGAGTATATATACTTGGAGATGGGGGACACAATGTTTTCCCCTGTGTTCTTTTAAAAATTATAAAGTCAAAAAATGTATTTCACAATAAAAAATAATTTTTAAAAAAAAGAGAGAAAATTTCCAGAACTCAAAAAAAAAAATTATAAACATCAGAAATAGGATGGTTCACAGGTTACCACTGATTTTCAGTGCTACCTCTTCCCAGGAGCATTTATTTTGCCATGGTAAAGATCCTCTTCTCCTCAACACCCTAGCACTTCATACGGTCTGTGGGGTCTTCTGGCCAGCTATAGTAGTGCCCAAAAGGAAAAAAATAAGTTGGGGATTGCTTTTTTATGTAGCAATAGGGTGCCTGTTCCTTTTGGCCTGTGCACATCAGGGAGTCAGTTGGGGCCCTGTGGGGAGTATAGCTTTATTTCTGACATCCGAGCCTTGGCCGACTCCCCTGGACCACTGGTTGCACCACAGTTACTTCCATCCGGCAGAAATAAATTGTGAACTTGTTGACAGTTTTGTCTTCTTCACAATTCATTGTTTATTTTGCCGTGACAGATAATTTTGATGCAATTATTGCTGAGCTCTCTGACAAAAGGGAAATAGCTGAGGAATTCTGATGAGGTACCCTCTTCATTAATCAGGACTAGCATCTCTAGTGACAGGGTTAGAATTACAGTGAAGATTGGATAGCAAATTGCTGTTCCACCTCACGTCAATCATGCCCAATGACAGCAGTGTGATTATACTTCAGAAAAGAGATTTTCCTGCCAACAAAACGGGGCAACGCCAGTGCAGGTAATAAATTTAGCGGGGTGAACTGTCACTTCTTCTCTTGAGTGGAACCCTTCACAACCTAGTGATGTCTTGGAGAAGATTTTGAGAGGAGAAAAGCATTTCACTTAGAAAATTTCTAAATTTCACTGTGTAGTATTTTATTCCAAAAATTATTATAGGTATGTACTTAGCAACACTCCTTCCCACAGGTTTGTTGTTTTTTTCAGTATTTTATTGACCTGTATCAAGCCTTACTTATCACCCAACTATGTAGAGAGACGTGGAAGTTAGTAAAAGAATGCATGACCATATTTGAAAATCTATCAGGAAAAAAAAACATGGTGTAGAAATAAGTGAACTAGGGAAGAAATGCCAAGAGGTCAGACTAGACGTCTGGCTAGTTAAAACACTAAGTTCTTCTGGTTTAAACAGAATGTATTCCTCTTCCAACCCAGCTGTGGTTTTAAATAATTGTTCTGTTTCAAAGAGGAAAGGGATAAAGCAGTATTGTGGCTCCAGAGTGTAGAACTGAAGAGGAGAAGCAGGTCTGGGAGCAGCAGGAGCTCAGCTGGGTGATAGAGTAAGTCGCTCATGACAAGGAAGTGCACCCCCGCTTGCTTCCTCTAAATAACAGCTCCTCCCAGAGAGGGTGCACAGGATTTTCCTTCTCCTAATATTTTCCTCTGAGCACGTTTTTGATGTTCCTGTTTGCCTGAATAATGTTTGCTGCAAATCAAGAATAACTGAGCACCTATTCTTGATTCATACTTTTATTTTTTTTTATTTAAATTTTACTGGGATTGCTTCTTTGTAGAGACAGGGAAAAAACTAATAGCAAGTTGATTTCAAGAAGGCAGTTGTCCTATGAGTCTGTCCCTTGGTTGCTATTAACTTCTGTGTAGTGAAACTGAATTATAGACCTTTACCACTAATCATTTTGCTCTCAAAGTCTAAAATTAAGTATTTTTAAACAAATATATTGAGTAGAGCATTTATAAACTCAAATTTTCCCCTCTTAAATTCAGATATGTTCTAGCAGTGCTTTTCTACTTGTAGTAAGTTATATATTGATTTCTTTGTCTTTAAGTGTAAAAGAAGTAAAAAAAAAAAATTGTCCTTCCTTTTTAGGAGAAACTTTTTGCCTAAGAGATTAGGGTCATCAGGCTGCCAGAATGTTTTAGTTTTAGTCTTAGGTGTACCACTAACTCTTCATTGTGTAAATTTAATCATTAACCCTTCTCTACTTGAAGTTTAGCTTGGAAGGTAAATCATAATAATATCTGCAGTCTCTATTTTGTAATGATGCTCTACAAATTAACAAAATAGTACACGTCAGGTGCTTCAAACTGTACAGAGAAAAGGAATATAGAACTCCAGGAAGGGCACTGTTAATGTTATTATTTTCAAGGTGGATTATGCTTGTGCTATTTCATCATTAGAATTATCCCAGGAGTTAAAATCAAGTCCTTCAAGAGGAATCTGGTAAATAAACACAGGATATTTTCTTTTGACTATGGCACAAGTTAACACATTTTTTTTTCATGCTGTATTTTGTGGGATAAATAATAATGCAAAAAGCATACCTCCTCAACCTGGCAGCTGTGTGCCTTTTCTTTGTTATGACTGAAGACAGCCTATATTCAGCAAATCTCCCTTCCTACATCCCTCTCTTCTTCCATTCCCTCCTCTCCCTCCTTCCATGGGATCTATGGTAAAGGTCTAGAAAATGTGCCCTCGTTTAACATAATGAAAAGGGAACAAGGACTTTAAAAAGCTTTCCATGGTTTCTCCTGATGGAAAATAAACAAGATTTTATAGTTTGTCTAAATGGAAATGTAACTGGTTTCCTATGTAAAAAGTAATTCTGGCCAAATAGGCTATTTCTAAGATTCTAGCATATGCTCCCTTATGTTGTTGGTCTTTTAACTTACATATTTTCTCTCCCTATAACCTCTCAAAAGTAGAGATTATATCTTAAACAACTATGTTCAGAGTCCCCAAATTCAAACATAGTGGTGGGTGCCTACTAAATATTGAAATAGTGAAAGATATGTATTTTTATAGAGAAAGGAGCAATAAGTCGAGCTGACCCTGATAAGGCTACAAAGTTCTTAAAGCTGGTCATTAGGCATCCCCGTAACCCCCACAAGGTCATTTCCTATGAGGTTACTTTCTATGTTAGTGCTCCCCACACTTGATACCATTCCCAGATTTGCCGTTCCCATTTATGGGACCCAGTCCTTCCCTCCCAGAGGTTCACAGTCCAGTGAAACCAGTAAACAGTTGATTATAATACAATATGATTAGTGTCTTGACTGAAGAAAGCATAGGTTGCTCTGGGAACAAGTGGAAGGGCACTTACATTTGGGGAGAATGGTTGGCAATAGGAAGGCTTCCTAAGAGAGGCGACTCCTGAAGTAGTCAGGCAGAGAGAGAGGGCAGAAAGGGATGGAGAAATTAGTATGACTGTAGATAGAAAAGTGTGAACCATCATTGGTGTAAGGCCAATAACTGAAAGGAATTTGATGTAGGAATGGAAAGTTTGCTGTGAAGATAAAAGATACAGGCAAGGACTAGCTCTCAGAGATTTTCGTATACTAGGACCATAAGTATTTCTCTAGGACACCCTTAGGGTCAGTAGACCTTGTCTGATTTGTTGTCAGATGCATATAGTGGAAGACTGCAGGCAGCCTGAGCGTCTAGTCTCTCTCTAGGCCTGCTCAGCCAAGGCCCTGACATGGTCACTGGTAGCCCAGCGGAAGCCCTTGTTGTTAACTGTCTTGTTCCCAGGGACCAGAGGACCCAGTCCATCCTTGTGGGATCTCCCACGATCGTTTGTGTGGCGCTGGTAGTAGGAATGAATTAAATGGTTGGTATTTTAAACTCCAAGACAGCCTGACAGGGAAGATCCTGCTGGAAGCAGGTCTTTCAAGCCTCTCAAACAAACCCTGTAACTTAGATCTTAGATGTGACTGTCCCTCCTGCCCCTCACAGCCACTGGTGACTAACAATGAGAATTAAGTATGCTAGTGTAAGTCATGAGGCTGAGAGTACCTCAGTTTCATGACTTGAATATTTCTTATCATTATTTGCATAAAGCAGTCGTGCTTTCTCTGTTCCCTTCCCATTAAGACAACAATTCCTAGATCTGTAAGAAAAAGTGTGAGGGGGAAATCTGAGGACGGGACTCTTATTAGATATTTGAAACACTGGCGCTGATCAGTGGTGATTTTCCAAATGTTTCCATTGTAGTGTCAAAAGCGCTACTTCTCTGCCTGGCACAAGCTGATTCTTGATGACAGGATTAAGCTGGGAAAAGCGGGGACCCTGTCTGAGTGGAAGTTACAGCTGAAGGTGCTGAAGGCCTGGAGAGACTACACAAGATCTCAGAAGCTGGAACGGGAGACGCGCGCCATGGAAAACGACCTTAGGGAAGAAAACAGGTACTATTATTTATGCTATGATAATCCTTCCAGTGTGTTTATCTAGGACCTCTGTCTTGAAGAATCCCGAAATGAACTCTAAAAACACTGTTCTCTAGAATCATCTCATCCACTGTTTTCCTATGTTACATCCTAAACTAGAAAAATTAAACTGAAAATTATAAGCAAAAAAATTATTTGAGTAAAACACACGTACTAATGTGCATGCTTTCCTTTTTTAAAGGAAGCAAGTATTATGCTTTTTCCCTTGTCCTCTGATATAAGTAGCATTTCACTTGGACCAACTTACAATTCAAAAGACAGAGTTTAGTTCATATACCAGTAATTCATGTTGGTAGAAGTCGCTGTCTGCACAGAGAATATTTATTAGGGACACAGGGAATATCCACTGGGAGGGCAGACCTGCCAAGGATGATTTCTGCCATTCCCACGTCTTTTGTTCCTCACTTTATATAGAGGTTTTGACACCTATATATCTACTCCCTCTTTTTCTTGTGAATGACAGAATTTGTCTTCAAATAAAACTTTCTCTGTTCCATCATCTTAAAATTAAATACATTTTGTTTTTTTCATTTCCAAGTTTCACTTTGCATTCTTGAACCAAAGTCATAGATGTAGAAGGAACCATTTATCTGGGAGAGGGCAGTTCATGTTCTCACGTGGGCTCAATTCTCCACCAGCAACTCTGTTCTTCACTGAGGGTGAAAAATTCAGTGAATGGCATATGAAAGCATTGTTACGTAGAGGAGAATGGTGCCTCATGGAGTTGTGCAACCTTGTGACAGCACTGGGCCCTGGTGAGGACACATAGGAGACCGACACCCCCTGTCCTCAAAGAGCTCACAATTTTGTGGGGAAAAGAAGACCTAGAAACAGTACCAGGGTTGAGCAGCTGAGTAATGCATCCCCTTTTGCTGCTGAGATCTTAGCAGAGGGAAGTGTTGCTGTGACTGAGGAGGCCCCTCCTGCCCAGTGCCAGGAAAGGCTTTATCAAAAAGGTGGGCTGTGAGCTGGGCTGTGCACCATAAGCAGGATGTTCCTAGGTGGGAATGGGGAGATGAGATGACGGCATGGAGTGTAGCCATCCAGACTGGCTGGAGATCACCAAACACGTGGTTGTCAAGTTCAACTTGCAAAAGGGCTTGAACGCAGGACAAGGAATTTAGGTATTCTTTTGTAAAGAAAGGTAAATTCTTGAAGGTTTTTAAGCAGGAGGGTGACCTAGTCAATTTTACTTTCCTACAGTATGCTGGGGAAAATCTTCAGTATAAAAAAAGGTCAACGTAGAAAACTCTTCCATAAGTCGTTTCTAAATTCTTAGGACCTAGTGATTGATATAAGGGATTGGAATAATAATCTAACTGAAAAAGGAATGGCTTTCAGGATTTGTTGGATAAAGAAAGGAAACCGGAGATTTTGTGAAGGGGAAGCAACATGGGTGAGGTCATAAAGGAGGTAGAAACTGAGATATTAAAGTTAAAAGTGGCCTGTGAAATTTACATGCCAGAAGAAACTTGTAGAAAGAAAAATCTAAAGAACTTGAGATTCCATTCCAATTAAACTGTTTAAATATAAAAACATTAAATAGAGGTTACATAATAGCATAATGTGCCAATTTTTTTTAAAGATCTCAGAACTTTTTGTCTCATATCTGTGAATTATTTTCAGGTATCTATTTTTAAATGTTCAAAATGGTTATTACATTTTTTTAAACTGTCAGAGATAGGAAATATTTGACTTATAATAATTTTTTACTATAAAACTTTAGAGCAGGAAGACACCTCAAGGATTGTCTAATCCAGCCCCTCATTTTACACATGATAAAAGTAGGGCCCAGAGCGGGTATGCAGTTCTCTCAAGTGCTTAAAGTTAAGAGTAACTAGTCCAAGACTAGAGACTGGTCTCTTTGATCCTGAGTCAGCTGCGTTTTCCTATGCCACACAGCTGTGTTAGATAGCATCCAAGTAAAGGTTCCCTAAGACAGCCATGCTTTTCAGTTATATAGTAATTGACTTTAGATGGCTGCAGATGTAATTAAGAAATGAGAAGTCATGCTGGAAACATGAGAAGAAAGGATCTATTAGATACAAACCGTACTTTGTGCTGCTTGCCTACAAATCCCTGGCTCTCTGCATGTTGTACTTTGCTCTAGAGATTGGTTTAGGATAATAAGTTGGATGACTTGGTTTCTTGGTGCATGTAGAAACCAAGAAATGTTAGTGGGATTGAGGGTGTCAGGAGAGCTGGGACCCTCTTTCCTGTGCTCATCACGGTTTCTCCCAATAGCTCAGTGGACACTGAATACATATTTGTTAAATAGTGAGTCAGTGAATGAATGAAGAGCTCAGTTGCTTCCGCTCCTGCAATTTAACTTGATAGCATTTTTTTAAATTAACTAATTTTATTTTTTTATTATTATTAGTTTCAGGTG